CCTACCACTCCCAATTTTTTTTTAAATATATATTTTTTAGTTATTGATGGAGACATATTTGTGTGTGGTGCTTGGGATTGAACCCAGTGACTCACGCTTGGTAGGCGAGCACTCTACCTCTGAGCCACAGCCTAATCCCCAATTTTTTTTCAATATTTATTTTTTAATTGTAGTTGGACACAATACCTTTATTTTTTAAGAGAGAGAGAGAGAGAGAGAGAGAGAGAGAGAGAGAGGTTTCTTTTTAATATTTATTTTTTAGTTTTCGGTGGACACAGCATCTTTGTTTGTATGTGGTGCTGAGGATTCAACCGGGCCGCACCATGCCAGGCGAGCGCGCTTCCGCTTGAGCCACATCCCCAGCCCCCACCCCCAATTTTTAATCTCCAAAATTTAGCAAATATGAAGTATTCTCGCAAAGAAAGTTGTGACCATCTTCGATCTCCATAAATAATTAGACTAAAGATGACAGTAAAATAGATTTTTCCTACTTGATTTAAGTCTTAAGGATGGTGAGAATCAACCACCTTCTGAACACTGTTAAAACATTTGTTTTCTCATTTTATAATCTCACCAAATCTACATAATAGGTTTTACTATATTAAATTTCTAGAGCTGAGGAAATAAAGGATCACAGAAATCAAATAACTTGCCAACTATAAATTAGTGAAGCTATCTGAGAGGGAAATCTGGCAGTGTTCATTTAAATTTAAAGCATACACACCCTTTACCCAGTGAATTCTCCTTTAGAATCTATCCTAAAGAAATCCTTGCTGTTGGGTTTGTTTGTAGTAGGGAGGAGGGGGAAGGACTGAAGGAAGGGAGGACAGAAGGAAGGGAGGATGGAAGGAAGCAGAGGAGAGAGGAGGGAGGGGGAGGAGGCTGTGAGTCATCAAGGATGATGGGTTAAATAAATTAGCATCTATCCAGGTCATGAGACATTCAACAATCTTAATCTTGGGCAGCAGCACCTCCACCCAGGGACTCTGCAGGAATCCCACTGAACTTTGAACCGTGGCTGCTGTCTGTCATTTCAGAATCCTCGGGCCCTGGGACCAGCAGACAAGTAACCTTATTGTCAGGACAAAGTTTCCTGCTACACAGGTATACAGTTGGCACTCAGGTAACCCACTGGGACATCTCTTGGCACTCCTGTGCCATTTTAAAGGTAAATGGCCAGTAGAGTGGGCACGGCCTGAGAAGAGCAAGGGAAGCCGAGGCTGACACCCTCCAAGAATGAGGGTCAGAATTACCTAACAGGATCTGCAGGAATGCTAGCCCAGGGAAAGAAGGAGTAGCAGAGGAGGAGGAGGAGGAGGAGGAGGAGGAGGAGGAGGAGAAAGAGGAAGAGCATCCACTAACTCCTCCCCTCAAATACTCCAGGATCAACACCAACCAGACTCCTAAAGGAGCTGTTCCCATAGGACCCGCTTCCTAGAAGAAGGAAATGAGCTGAGCCGCTCAGGGTGGACTGTAATGGGTACTGTGACCCTGTTTCCCCTCCTCAGGACAAACACACCTTCCTCCAGCTACTGGAAATCCAGCTGCAGATGGCTCAGCTGTGCTCACCTGAGTCCGCTCAGTCATAGACCCTGCCCTGCTCAGGGCTGCCCTGTCCTCCTGTGCAACTGGCTTGCAGCATCAGTCTTTTAAAATCTAGAAATATCCTTTTTTGGTTTTGATGAATTAAAAGAGCTCTTTTTTCAAATGTATTTCTGAGTAGACATGCTCAGGATTATCAAGGAAGTGGGCTAATCATCATATGGCAGGCTGGGAAAAGTAGTTATCTCTGTACCTAAGCTGGAGTTGAAAGGCCACATGAGCATGTTCCCAGCACGCATGCTCTCTCTTTCTCTCTTTGCACGGGGATTGAACCCAGGGACACTCTATTACTAAGTTACATTCCCCATTCCACTCTATTACTAAGTTACATTCTACTTTTTTTTTTCTTTAATTTTGAGACAGGGTCTCACAAAGTTGCCTAGGCTGGCCTCAAACTTGCAATCCTCCTGCCTCAGCCTCCTGGGTAGCTGGGATTGCAAATGAAATATCCCCAGATTTTTTAAGACCCTCTGGACTCACCTCTGTAGCTACACACCCTCCCACTGGTCCGCCAGCTTAGCTAGTCTGGTTCCCAAGCCAGGGTGTCCTGCCTCTTCCCCTTTCTCTCCTCATACCCAAGACCTGGCTCTGAGCAGCTCCAGCCGGACCTCACCTATTTGATCTTCCTTATCTCAAACTTGCGAAATTTCTGCAGGTAGCAAAGTTAGAATCTCTGCTTGCTGGTCCTGTCTTTCAGTGCCTTTCTTCTTAGGGGTTGAAGGTCGAGTGGCTCCTCCTAGGCCTGGAGTTGGCGGTCCTCCCTCCCTCACTGGAAGAGTCTTAGGTGACAGCGTAGGGGCACAGCAGGGCGTCCAGCTGCGGCATCTGTGGGGCCAGCCGTTGGGTCTTAAAGTCACAGACTCATGCCCCGCTGCCTGATGAGAACTGACAGTCTCAGAATCATCTAAATGCCTTTTTCTTTTCCTGTAAATGACTCTTGAGACTCAATCGACTGGCATAACATCGGAAACTGAAAAGCTCCGATCTCAGAGATAATTACTTAAAAGCTAGAGTTCATTCCACCTTTAATGTATATTATGATGCTCTTATGTTTGAGTTCGATGACTTAATTAATTGGAATTCAATAGTTTAATTGGTATATTAGAAACAGAAAAATAATCACTAATATAACTGTTAGAGTCTGAATTGAAAGCCTAACCCTGCTCCTGTTGAATTATAATTAATTTGTATTTTTGTGAAATATGAGTACATTTTGAGCACATCAAAATACATTAGTGATGACAAGATACACAATGTGGTTGCAATTATGTGTACTAGGGGGCGCTATGGCTCCAGGTTTCTGTTTTAAATTTTCTGATTCTGGGTAAAATTTTAAATGGAGTTAGGCCAGAATTTCTTTTAACATAAAATATTGTGTTTGAAGGATTTCATGTTTTCCTTGTACAGTTGCCATTTTTTCACATCTTCTCTGCAACATTCTCTCATCTTTCCCCCTCCCCCCCCATCCTACTTTTATTTTTGAACGTTTCCCTCTTTCTTCAGTAGTTTTTCCCTCATTTAGCCTCTGTCTAAATCCTGGCTGAACTTTTTCTTTGGGGAATGACATACCTGCCAATTATTGTAAGGTAAGAAGCACCCAAGGTATCCCAAAGACCACACAGGCTTGAAAATGACGCCCCTCTGCCTGCCAGGGACCCCATTCTCCAAGCCCAAACTGGGACATGCATTCTGACCTGTAGGGGGCACTTCTGAGAGCAGTAGGATAAAGTTTCTGGAACTGACCCTCTTCAATTGAATTCTGTTCACCTCGTCCTGGATTTTGTGGAGAAGATCTCAAGCGCACAGCCATGCTGTTTCTTCACTTCCTGCACCCAAGCCTCCTACCTATAAGATGGGTGAAATCGCCCCAAAGCCCTAACTAAGTAGCACATACAGCCTAGGGCAGTGGCACATGCCTGTAATCCCAGCCGCTCAGGAGGCTGAGGCAGGAGGATCGTGAGTTCAAAGCCAGCCTCAGCAACTTAGCAAGGGCCTAAGCAAATTAATGAGACCCTGCAAAAAAAAATAATTATTATTATAATAAAAATTTCATGGGAAAATATACTTAAGATCGATAACAATTCAGTATGTCTAAACTTTATCTCAAAAGGAAAAAAAAAATGCACAAAAGTCCTGAACTAGTTAACGATATGCATGCTAAAGTGGTTAGAGGCTGAAGCAACTTAGAAAAGCATTTGAAGAGTAAGACGGAGAGATGGAAGACACCGTGTAGCCGTGAGTCAACTGTTAGGCCCAGAGTCTAGGTGTCAGGCGCTCATGCCACATTCTCTCAGCTTGTCTGTATGTTTGCAACGTTTCATTAAAAGATGTTAAGGAGGAAACCCGCTAAAGGACATCAGGTTAAAATGCTGGGCATAAGGATATTTTAGCCAGGATGGGTCCTTTAAATAAGAGTGTGGAGTGTGCAGGCAGCTCTGTTTGCAGGCCTTACAGACGCACAGGCTTCAGGGGTTTGTATTTCCAGAGGAGGAGCCAGAGCAGGGGAACACCACCTTCTGAGCGCCTCCTTCTGCCTTTTGTGCCTGCCTTCCTTCCTTCCTTCCTTCCTTCCTTCTTTCCTTCCATTTCTGCCTTTCTCATTGTTCTCTGTGATTCATAGTCAAATTTGTGATTGGAACAACTTGAATGAAGATTTTATCAATAGCCATAGTCATGGGTCACTCACTTTTTCAAGTGATCTATAGGCAACATCAATTTCTGCCCCAGTCAGACACTGAGTTCTAATAGTTGGTGTAAGAACAAATCAGTATACAGGTCTCAATCCAAGCTGGACAGCGTTGAGTTCTGATGGGCCGAATTACCATGCAGTTTGGCTCCCTGGGACATGGGGCTTTCCCTGCCAACATAGGGAGTCAGTGTATTAGTCCACTTGTGTTACTATAATGAAATACTTGAAGCAAATCAGTTTATAAAGAAAAAGGGTTAATTTTTGGCACCTGGTTCTGGAAACCTAAGTTTGAGGGGACACATCTGGTGATGGCCTTCTTGCTGGAAGAGTTCTGAGGCAGCACAGAATATCACATGGTAAGAGACAGAGAGCACACGTGTGTGTGTGTGTGTGTGTGTGTGTGTGTGTCTGTGTATATGTTCTGGTATCTCTTCTTCTAGACCCACCAGGATTTGATCACGGGACTCCTCCCAGATGACCCTAATCTAACCCTAGTCACCTCCTCAATGCCACACCTGTAGTTGGATTAAACTTTTACCCTCTTAATGAGGATTAAGCTTCTACCCTCATCTTGGGAATTCAATTTCAACACCTGGACTCTTGGGACTCACACTCCACCCATGTCCAAACCACAGCTGTCACCCTAGCATGGCCAGCTGACAGCTCGCATTCACAAGAGTCCAAGAGAATTCATTAACTAGATTTGACATTTTATTTACCATGCAATTGTTTTTATTTATAAGTATCTGTCAGTGTTTAGATCACATGATGCAGATAAAAGGCCCTGAAATGCTGAACTTTCACCCATATTTATGATATAATGTATGGGAGACACACACTTAGAAATGAAGCAAAGTCATGCAGTCCAGCCCAAGGCCTATGGCCCTGGCTCTAGAAGACCCAGGGCACCCACCAGGGATGCCTCAGGATTCAATCCAGCTCCACCCCTTGGCCTGTTACCGTCCCTCTGCATGTCTCTGCCAAGAAAGGAAACACTCCTCTGCTTCAGTTGGTATTTTTCTTTTTCATTGGGAATGAAGGCAATGATACAGATTTCCAGAAGCCAAATATAGAAGACATTGTCTCTTCTTTATAACCAAACTCCTATAGCTAGGCTTGCTTATTATAAATATTCAATAGTCACATGGATGACAGATTCAGTGTAAGCAGAAAATGGATCTGGTAATTAAATCCCTATTTAAAGCATAACCCTACCATGTAATGAAAAAGAGTGGGTAACTCCATAACATCAGGCATTGGTCAGTGGATTACGCTGGAATACAGGTAACGCTCATTTCAAAACATCCCAGGAAGTGCGATTGCGCTTCCCTGGGCCTACATGACATGAACAGTTCCTTCCCAGTGGAAGTCCAATAAAACAGGGAGAGGGCGTGGGGCACATCTGCACACTGCACACGCGTGGTTGTCTGCTGCGCCCAAGATGTCCTTCTGCCCTCACTGTTCATGGGACAACAGGTTCAAAATGAAAAGGACCACGCTGCACCTTGCCTGCAGCTCTTCCGAGGAAAGTATGGCTTCTCGCCCTTCAGACCTGGTTCACACCATGTTCCTCTGCACGGGGTTTTGCAGGTGCTGTGCCGTCCACCTGGAGAACCTGCCCAGCTGTCTGCACCGCGGGTCTCCAGGCGCCCTCAAGGACTTGTCTCCAATGTTCCCTCCTTGAAGACGCTTCAGCTCCCGCAGGCAGAATCAGACACTCTCTTTTGTTTCTGCCACACTATTATCATGACCCATGCCCAACACCGTCACCATTTGTTACATGTCTTTCTCTGCACTCAACTCTGAGTCCAAAACCTGGCAGGCATGAGCGTCAGGGGCTGCACGATGGGTGGTGGTGTCTATTTATGTCGCTCCCTTTTCTCCAGTTCTTCCACTGTAATCCTCCGGAGTGTGGAGACAGCCTGTCCCTTCTTCCCCCCCGGAAGGTACAAGGCATTGTCTTGTCCCTAGTAGACAAAAGTAAGGGTGAGTGACTGAGACGGTGTGGCATTAGCCATATCTGCAGAACTGGCAGAACCTATTTTCTATTTTAATCCAGATCATGTGGTGTTTTTCATTCTAAAAAGGACAGAATGGCAATCATTAAAGAATTTTCCAGATTTACATAAAAGATAAAAGGAGACCGAGTTACAGACAAATAAGGCTTTAAAAGGCACACTGTACCCACAGACGGGGGGGGGGGGTGTCCAGATTTTCGGAGCTGCAGGAACAACGTCCCCACCCAGGTGGCTGACAGCAGCTGAAGCCTGCCGGGTCGGCTCATGACCGTCACACGGTGGCTTTTCCCTGCTTCTCTCTTTTCTCTCCCCATCCCCCCAGAGCAGAACCGAGATCATAAGCTGGCAGGCCAACCCACAAACCTGTTTTGCCCTCACAGTGCTTTTATGTTTTTTAATCAGCTGCCAGTGTGTAAGAAACGGCTTTCTCATGAAAACTCGGGTTGCCCGGTTCTCTTGGAAATCATACCTGGACAGCCCTAAGCCCCGTGCAGCAGCGATCAGCTGAGCAGAGTCACAGCCTGACCTCCCCAGCTTCACTCATTTGCTTTATGTTTTCGGCCTCCAGAAGCATCTGAGCATGCACCTCCTGGTGTACAGGATGCTCAGCGTGGCAAACCTAGGTGGCTGTGGACGCAGATCCCACCAGACCCCACGGGGAACTTGGGCAATTAAATACTGTCCCTCCCTGGGCCTCTGTTCCCTTATAAACCAACGGATAACTTTTTGTCTTAAAATGTCAATAAAGTCAAAAGTTTGAAGTGTACATTTAAAGACTCACCTTGCCCATTAACTTTATGGTTGATGACTGCCCCTAACAATGCAATTAAAAAAAAATGTAATTACTCTTCAGTATCACTGCTACTTACCCCAAGAGGCACTGGCACCTTCCAAACACCTAATAATCCCCTGTCTTTCCTCAGTTCTCACCCTCCTTTATCTCTGAAAACTATTAAGACTCTATCGCCGCTTTCTCCTCCTCCCCCTCCTCCTCCTCCTCCTCTTCCTCCTCCTCCTCCTCCTCCTTCCTCTTCTTCATACCACTCTACTACCAAGATATATCCCCAAACCTTTTTATTTTTTGAGACAGGATCTTGCTAAATTGCAGAGGGTGGCCTCAAACTTGCAATCCTCCTGCCCCAGCCTCTCAAGTAGCTAGGATTACAGACAGGACCATCACTCCCCGTTGATGTTCCTCCTTCTTGAAAGCTTCTCCTTGCTGGCCTTCCATAAAATTTTTATTTCCTGGGTGACCTCCCTCTCCAACTACTCCTGTCTTCTTCTTCGTCTCTCTTTGGCCAAGGGTAGAAATTCTGTGATATTTCGTTGGTCCTGGCCTCTTTTCCTCCACTACTCTCTTTTCCAGGAAAACATGGGCACTCATTCTGTCTCTTAAGCTCCAAACCCACATCACCAGCGTCTCACTGTCCCTGCACCCACCGTGCTCAGGACCGAACATCCAAAACTAAGATATCCAGATCCCAACTCACTGAGAAGACGTGGACTGTTCCTGGCTGCCTGCATTTCTGTCCTCAGTGGAGATGTACCAGGTCCTCACGCAGCCTAAGTTGTCATTGTCAGGCATGAGCCGACCCCGGATGGCCAGCCGTCTCCTTCCTCCTGCCTAGTGAGAGTTCCAGTAGGATTTGGCCTATGGGTCCCGGGAGGGGCACCACTTTGTCTTTCTTCTTGGATGGTGAACATGAAAGATCTTCCCCAGCCACACAGAAGACACAGGGGGACCCACAGGAAGCAAAGCCGAGGCACACAGAGAAGTAGGTGCTGCCGACCATCTCTGAGCACCCAGAGCCCGGAGTGTGGAAAGCCAGCGCAACCCCTCAGATCTTATAATCACATCAGCTAAAAAATCCCATTTTCCTTAAGCTGGTTTGCACTGAGTCCTGGTCTCTCGTCATCCAGAGTCCTCTTCCACCGTCCCATTCTCTCAGATAACAGGTTAAGGAAAACCCAGATACTTAACTCTCTTCCCTCCTCTCCTCCAGTACGGAGCTTGCCACTGAGCCTTAGAGATGCTGTTTCCGTGACAGTTGTCCCCTTTCTATATTCCCCCACCTCCCCACCCCCACTGCTGCTATTTAAACCAATGGCTTCATTCGCCTCCCTAAAGACTTGGGCTGGTCTAGGAATTGGTCTTCTGGCCTCCAGACTCTACCTAGCCCTGTCCTGTCTACCACAGTTAGATCCATTTTCCTGAAGCAAAAATCTAATTATATAATCCCCCCACTTTCAATGATTTCCCTCGGGCCTTCTGCTTACAAAATAAGAACAAGCTATCTGTGTGAGTTTGCTAGCACTACCATCACAAAGAACCAGAGGCCGGGTTATTTAAACGACAGAAATTTATTTTTCTCCCAGTCTGGAAGTTGAAAGCCTAAGGTCAAGGTGTCAGCAGAGCTGGCTTCTTCTGCGGTCTCTCTCCTTGGTTCTTACGTGAACATCTTTTCCGTGTGTGCACATGGCCTTCCTTCCCTGTCTGGGCCCCAATTTCCTCCTTGTCCTAGGCAAGCTATGCCATTAACCTAGACCACACAGGTTTGTATCTTTTTACAACATCAGGATTTTCTGAATGGCAATAAATTCACAAGCCGCATCCATTCCATCAACTTTGGTTCACTGAGTCCTCATGATTCACTTGGTAGCCGTGAACAGGGCCATCTCGGATTCTCCGGTTCCATTCCGATCTTAATGACTATCATCTTTAACAGTGAAGCCACACAAGAGACAGAACTGAGAGCCAAGACAGAGAACAGATTCAATTCGCTAAGTTCACAGGTGCTAATCTTTTATTAGCATGACTAACTTACTTCTCGGTGTGTGCCTTGTGATTGTGCTGTGCAGCTAGGGGGTACTCTTCAATAAATTCTGTATGTCATCATCCATTATCATCAATTTGCTCAGACAAGTCCCTGAGTCATTTGGCCTTAGCTGCCGGAGAACTGCTGTCCTGACTACACGGAGTAACTTCAGCCTGCAGTCCACACTCTTCTAATGAGGACTCCAGTCATATTGGATTTGGGTTCACCCTGAGGACCTCACCTTGACTTAATTACCTCTTAACAGACCCTAACCCTGAACTTAGCCTCACTCTGAAGTACTGGGAAGTACGACTGCAAATTTGGGAGAGCACACAATTTAGCCATGACAATTCCTCATTCTGATTTCTTAATATGGCTTCAAATCAACATTTTCCACCCTGTCAACGTCATCTCTTCTCCTCCTCCTCGTCCACCCAAATCTAGCAAAAATGGTTCTCAGATCGTCTCCAAAGAATCTCGTTATTTCCTGTCTCTGAGCCTTTGCTCGAGGTGTTTCTTTGGTCTGGAACATCATTTCTCTTTCTAGCCTCTCATCTCTGTCCATCAAAACCCTTCCCAGCCAGGCGTGGCGGCAAAGGGCTGTCATCCCAGCAGCTTAGGAGGCTGAGGCAGGAGGATGGTGAGTTCAAAGCCCGTCTTGGCAATTTAGCAAGACCCTAAGTAACTTAGTGAGACCCTGTCTCAAAATAAAAAAGGGATGGGGGGTGCTGGGATTGTGGCTCAGCAGTAGAGCGCTCGCCGAGCACCGGCGGGACCTGGGTTCGATCCTCTGCACCACATAAAAATAAAGGCATTGTGTTGTGTCCATCTACACCTAAAAAATAAATGTTTAAAAAAGGGGGGGGGATGGGGATGTGGCTCAGTGGTTAAGCACTCCTGGGTTCAATCCCTGGTCCAAATAATGACTCTTCCAATCCTTCAAAGTCCTCCACAGGTGCCCTCTCCTCTAAGCCTTCCTTTCCTTCCTCCTGAGCAGGTGTCTGTTGTTCTGGCCACCTGCCTCCCCACGTTCCTTTTGCCTCACCCTTGCCTTGGAGCTCAGCTTCTCTCCCATCCCCCAATGGGCTGGGAGCTTCCAGTAGAGTAACCCTGGCCAGAGGTGTGCGTGATGCTGGACCCCACACACTTGGTTGCTGCAGCCCCGTGTAGTCAGAGCCGGCATGGCGGAGACAGCTGCTCTTGCCTGCCAATGACCATTTGCCCCTTGATTGCCCCTAAGGGAGAATAGGTGATTTTTCAAGGGAAAGGATTGAGTCCCAGGCAGATGGGCGCCTGAGTGGCCTGGTGTTTGGAAAAGCAGCCTCTGCGTCTCCACGAGTGAGGACTGTGTGCCTCTCATCTCCACGCAGGTTGCAGCCCCGGGATCTAAGAAGGCTACATGATCCGAGTTTCTGTGCTGGTTCCAGTGGCCGGTGTCTGGTTCCTGTCCTGGTTAGTATTTCTGGCAAGCACCCTTCCAGGTGTCTTTATCTGGTAACCCGGGAGGCGGAGGGGAGATCCTGCGCATTCCTAGCTAACGTTAGTGTGTAGGTGATCTATAGAAAAAAGACTTCAGTGGACAGCTTAAAGAGATGGAGCAGTCCGAAACAAAGAGAAACCTCAAAGAAGTGGGTCTTGATGGGGGCCGGTATGTGCACTTTCAAGGCCTTTAGATTATCTAAGCTCCTAGAATTAGTCATGACCCAGAAAATGGTGGGAACACCATTCATTCCATCCTGGTCAAAGGTAGGGCTCAATACAGACATTAAAGAAAAACCTAGAGGCTGGGTGTGGTGGCGCACACCTGTCATCCCAGTGGCTCAGGAGGCCGAGGCAGGAGGATGGTGAGTTCAAAGCCAGCCTTAGCAACTTAGCAAGGCACTAAGTAACTCAGTGAACCCTGTCTCTAATAAAATACAAAATAGGGCTGGGGATGTGGCTCAGTGGTCGAGTGCCCCTGAGTTCAATCCCTGGTACCCTCACTGCCCCCGCCCCACCAAAAAAAAAAAAATGTAGAAAGAAATTGTTCTTTCTTACTTGGGTTGAAGACTAAGATTAACACTCCTGATATACTTATTTCTGTCTTGGTCTTATCCTTCCTGTTAAACTATAATAAGCAAAGATTGTTTTATCTTTGTGTCCCCTACAACTGCCATCACAATAATTTATGCAAAGCAGACACCCCATCACTGTGTTTCCAAGTTGAACTGAATCAAGCAGATTGGGAAGCTTACAGCGGGGCTGG